ATGTTGAGATATCATGAAATTCATGCTGAGATCCAACAACAAGAATTGATCATATCAAGAGGCAAGGTCTTGGAGAACTGATTTCTTTCTCAGGGCTCAACACTCAGGAATGGGATGCTAAGCAATGGAGGAGTTGTTTTCATTTTCCCTGCTTGAGGAACAGTGAATCTTAGCTACTGATCTTAGGCTTCCTAGAACCCTAATAAACATCTGTTGTTTACAAATTACCCAGTATAAGGCATTTTGCTACAGCAGGCTAGATTGACTAAGACAATGGGAATTTACTTGTAATAATTTCTGGCATTTGTCGTTTGCATTATCTTACCTTCGTTTCTTTTTCTTTTCTTATTAGAAAGGCAGATACACAAAGAAAAGGAGATTCAGAGAGAAAGATCTTCTGTCCACTGGCTCACTGCCCAAATGGCCACAATGGCTGAATCTAAGTCGATTCAAAGCCAGAAGCCAGGAGCTTCCTTCAGGTCTCCCATGCCGGTGCAAGGTCCTAAGGCTTTGGGCCATCCTTGACTGTTTTCCCAGGACTCAAGCAGGGAGCTGGGTAAGAAATGGAGCAGCTGGGACAAGAACCGGCGCACATATGGGATCTCGGTGCATGCAAGCAAAGAACTTCAACCACTAGGGTATTGTGCCACTCCCTGGTTACTTTTTAAAAAAGATTTACTAAGGGCCTGGCATGGCAGATCAGATTTATGGGGAGAAAAAGAGAGAAATATCTTCCATCTGCTGGTTTACTCCCCAAGTAGCCAACAATAGCTGAACCTGGGCTGGTCCAAAGCCAGAAATCAGGAGCTTCTTAAGGGTTTCCCATAAACCGGAAGATGCTCCTGGCTTCTTCCTGGCCTAGCCCCAGCTGTTGCAGCCACTTGGGGAGTGAACCAGTGAATGGAAGATCTTCCTCTCTGTAAAATCTGCCTTTCCAAATAAAAATACATTTAAAAATAAAAATAAAGATTCTTTAAAAGAAGAATCTTTAAATAAAAGAAAATAAATTTCCTTTATATTCAGTTCATCTGACACTGTCCCGTTTTTTTCAAGTCTACATTACTCTTTATTACTTCCAGTGTGTTTTATATCCTTACTAAATCCCATGTACTCAATTTACAACACAGGCTGGAATTGAAGAACATTGTGGCCTTAACTCTACTTTTAGCTACATGAAATTGAATAAGCTTTTCCATAATTCATTTTTATAGTAAAGTTAGAATGGGGGTGAACATTAAGAGCTACATTTGCTGTAGCTCTTAAACTCCAACATAGGACATCTGTGTTGTCCTATGTATAAAGAGTGCCTGGATTAGTGTCCCAACTCCACTCCAATTCCAACTTCCAGCTAACAACGCACATCCTAGGAAGCAGCAGGTGACCAAGGCTCAAGTACTTGGGGCCCTAATACCTGCGTGGGAGACCCAGATTGAGTTCTCAGCTGCTGCCTTCCACCTGGTTCACTCTCAGTAGTCATGGCCACTTGAGAGGTAAACTAGAAGATGGGAGATCTTTAGTCTGTTTCTCTGCATTTCAAATAAATAAAATAAGTTTGATAAAACCTGCTTCACAGGTCTCTGAAACTAAATAACATGGTTAAATTGTTGACAATCCCACAGTCAGGGTCCTGAACTTTATCATCACTGCAAGTTCTACTAAAAATAGTACGTAATTAATCCATGCTTCAAAACAATTTCTTCAAGATTTGGTAAAATGTGTACATATTTTCACCTTCACAGCTTATTCACATTATTCTTCAGATGCCCTGAGTCCTAATCTTACACATGCTTCAAGGCCTGAAAGAAAGGTAGCCTTCATTATGAAAACTATGCCCAAAATAGCAGAGAAAAATAAGAAAAAGCAAAAACAAAAAAGAAAAAAAAAAAACAAAACACCGAAGTTTCACCATCCACACTAAGGTGTACTTGTTCTAATTCCTAGTTTAGTTGTGCAAAATTCATCAACTATTTCCTAATTTTGTGCTAGTCTCCTTCTAAAACATGATTATAAGACAGTTACAAAAGCAGGGCCCAGCACAATAGCCTAGTGGCTAAGTCCTTGCCTTACAGTGCTGACATCATATATGGGTTCGTGTCTCAACTGCTCCACTTCCAACCAGCTCCCTGCTTGTGGCCTGGGAAAGCAGTAAAGGATGGCCCAAAGCTTTTGGCCCTGCACCCATGTGGGAAGAAGCTTCTGGCTCCTGGTTTTGGATGGGCTCAGCTCTGCCATTGCGGCAACTTGGGGAATAAACCAGCGGATGGAAGATCTTTCTTGCTGTCTCTCCTCTCTGTAAATCGAACTTTCCAATAAAAATAAAGGAAAAATATATACAAATATATAAAATAAAAAGTCACAAAAATAACTAATATTATTTTTCTACAGCAAGCTAAGTAGCATCAAAAAATACAAGACTGTCAGTATACAAAAAAAAGTTCTTTATATCTTACAAGTACATTTGAGTTAATATTCCAAAGTACACAGAAGAGGGGAGATATACAGAGGAAGAAGTTAAAAGAAAAGGAAATAAGTTATCTAAGCAAATCACAGAAAGATCCTCTGGTAAAACATTTGCTGGATCCTTCAGTGTGAGCAAAACTTCAACTAACCTAGTTGCATTCTTTTAAAATGACATCAAAAGTCCAAAGTACCATTTTTATGATTCAAAATTTAGAACTTCACAGGAATGGTCTAGTTTCCTGCAGTAGCCCCTTCCTTTCACAGGGGAAAAAGGTAAAAACCATACAGAAAAGTCTTACAAGTTTATATTGCCCTGGTTTCCATTTTAAATATGTTTAACATTCTCAGACCTAAAACTGGGCTCAGTCACTTTTAACAATTTCACGTTCTATCCCTCCTCCTACTTGTTCAATGTGTTGACACGGCAGTCTGCCTTACATTTGGCCTCTTCATCTGGCCCCACTCTTATCTCACAGACTAACAGGCCACAATAGCCACCTCCCAGTCATAGAAACACCGCTTGGAACATGGGGTTTTCTTTAAGTCCAGCAATTAGAACTCATGGGAAATCTATACGTATCGGATCCAATAAAGGTACTGGCCTACAAGTGGCTCTCTTCTCACTGTGTTCCCTGATCCATGCCTTTAAGCATGTCATTACTTCCACAAGATCTATAAGTACTATAATTCTAACTTCCATCTTGTGTGTCTTTCACTTATTAAAAGGATACTCTTCAGCTTAAAGATCCTAAGTAACAACAAATGCTAACTAGTTTAAGAAATTTAAGTAGCACTAATCTGTCAAAGAATACTCTCACAAATTCTAATAATTACACTTGCAGTTGTCTGCATTAATTATATTCAAAAAGAATTGCTTATGAAGATCATATCAAAATAGATTTAAAAGATGCTTTTGTGTAATAGGATCAAATGCTTACAATTCTTTTGGAATTTTTTTTTATTACAAAGTCAGATATACAGAGAGGAGGAAAACAGAGAGGAAGAGCTTCCGTCCAATGATTCACTCCCCAAGTGACCGCAACAGCCGGTGCTGCGCTGATCCGAAGCTGGGAACCCGGAACCTCTTCCAGGTCTCCCACTTGCGTGTAGGGTCCCAAAGCCCTGGGCCGTCCTCGAATGCCTTTCCAGGCCACAAGCAGGGAGCTGGATGGGAAGTGGGGCTGCCGGGATAGAACCGGTACCCATATGGGATCTCGGCACATTTAAAGCAAGGACTTTAGCCACTAGGCCACTCCATCGGTCCCTGGAATATTTTGACTTGGCTTTGTGTCTCTAATACAGAACACATACTAAATGTTTCTTACAATGTAACATTAAATAACAAATAAATAAAACATTAATTTTTAAAGTTTATTCCTGCATAACTACTAATACTCTTACAATGTACCTTTTTAATGTATTTTCATTGTTAATATTACTTTCTTCTAATCAACGCTAAAATAATTACATTACTAAAATAACTAAAAAGTAACAGTAGCTCCCTTTACATAGCATTCCATCTCTAATAGTTTCTGGCTCCACTGTGCCTTCACAACTTGGTAATGACTGACAAAAAAATGCTCTGTTTTTAAGATACAATTTTCAATTTTAGGAGATACCATTGTCACTCAATGCTCAATAGTTATCATATCTAAATTGATGCAATAATATACTCATGGTCAAGTTTACCTTTAATAAAATAAAATGCCTAATGGCATCATGCTGGAAATGCTAGAGTTTCCAAAATTCTGCTAAATTTCTGCCAAAATTCTGATTTTTATAGCCTCCAAATTCGTAAATGAAAACAGTAAGTTCACGGGCCCGGCATAGTAGCCTAGCAGCTAAATGTCCTCACCTTGAAAGCGCCGGGATCCCATATGAGCACCAGTTCTAAACCCAGCTTCTCTACTTCCCATCCAGCTCTCTGCTTGTGGCCTGGGAAAGCAGTGGAAGACGCCCGAAGCTTTGGGACCCTGCACTCATGTGGGAGACCCAGAAGAAGCTCCTGGCTCCTGGCTTCGGATTGAATTAGCTCTGACCATTGCAGTTGCTTGTGGAGTTAACCATCAGATAGAAGATCTTCCTCTCTGTTTCTCCTACTCTTTGTATATCTGACTTTCCGATTTTTTTTAAATCTTAAAAAAAAAAAAGTAAGTTCATAAGCACTTTAGATAGACAACTGTAAACAGTTGTAATTGTGATTATTCTCGGTGAGATGTGATATCTTTTAAATATTGCAAACAGAGATTATAAAACAACTCTGGCAAAATCTATTTATTTGTGTAAAACAAATAATCAGAAAAAGGGTAGAGCAAGGGAGAGAAAGAATATACAAGTAAATATGGTCTGAAGATGGTAACTATAAAAAAGAAAATGGTACCTATATAATAGAAACACAATAATTTCTTAGACATCTCTTCCCCCATTCCATCAGATTATGGAAACATGACTACATGCTTTTTTGAGCAAGATATTCTAGCATGAATACATTTGCAAGTGGAAAAAGTCCCTGAATTTGATCTTGGTGCGTGATAGCTTACCAACAGCATTGTAGAGAGGCTCTCCAGTTAACTTGTCCCAGACTACGGTGGTTTCCCTCTGGTTGCTAACACCAATAGCTTCAAAGAGAAAATTAAACAAGTAGAAAATGACCTTAGGAGAATAGCTCATATACACACACTCACAAACTAAAGCAATTAAAAAAAACTTGGAACAATTGTAGTGATACCTATTTTCCACAAGTAAACCAGGCAAAGTAAACACACCACATGCACGTTTTCATTTTATTTCTACATGCTGCTCCCTGCCTCGCTGTCAGCACACAATGTCATGGACCCCAAAAGATACACAAATGAAATCTCCCAGGTAATAGTAAGGAATTCAGGAACACCCAATTTATTATTCTGAACAGATCAGCAATCACCTCAATAATTTGCCAACTGTTACAAGAATTTTCCCTGGGTCAGTACTGTGGCATAGTACACTAAGTCTCAGCCTATAGCAGCAGCGTCCCACATGGGCACTGGTTTATGGTCCCTACTGTTCCACTTCTGACCCAACTTCCTATTTGTGGCCTGAGAAAGCAACAGAGGATGGGCCCAAGGACTTGGTGCCTCACATTCACTTAGGAGATCCAGAAGGATCTCCTGGCTCCTGGCTTTTGATCAACCTACCTCCAGTCTTTGCGCCCATTTGAGGAGTGAACCAGAGAACGAAAGACCTCTCTCCAACTCTCTCTCTCTGAGTATGAAAGATTCTCTCTCTCTCTGAGGATGAAATATCTCTTTTTCTTTCTCTTTCCTTCTCTTTATAACTCTGCCTTTCAAATCAAAATAAATTTTAAAAATTTCCTTCCTTACATGGGTGTGTGTAAGCACAAACAGCTACATTTTAAGAAAAAAATGGGGGGAAAGGGCTGGTTCAGTGGTACAGCAATTCAAGACACAACCTGTAATGCTGGCATTCTAGGGCTGGCACCATGGCATAGCAAATTAAGCTTCCATCTTGGGATGGGTGGGGGTGACATCATATCACCACCAATTCAAGTCCTGCTGCTCCACTTCTCACCCAGCTCCCTACTAATGACCTGGGAAAGCAGCAGAGGCTGGCCAAAGTGCTTGGGCATCTGCACCCACACGGGAGACTTAGAAGAAGCCCTTGGTTCCTGGCTTCAGACCAGTCCAGTTCTGGATGTTGCAGCCATTTTGGAGGATGAACCAGTGACAGAAGAGCTGTCTCTTTCTCTCTTTTGTAACTCTGCCTTTCAAATAAAAATAAATAAACCTTAAAAATCTTGCATCCTATACTTAAATGCTGGTTCTTGTGCCCCAGCACTCATGTAAGAAACCAGGAGATGGGCTCGGCGCAATAGCGTAGTGGCTTAAGTCCTCACCTTGAACACGTTGGGATCCCATATGGGTGCCGGTTCTAATCCCAGTGACCCTGCTTCCCATCCAGCTCCCTGCATGTGGTGTGGAAAAGCAGTTGAGGAAGGCCCAAAGCTTTGGGATCCTGCACCCATGGGGGAGACCTGGAAAAAGCGCCTGGCTTCGCATTGGCGCATCTTCAGCTGTTGTGGCCACTTGGAGAGTGAATCACCAGCTGGAAGATCTTCCTCTCTGTCTCTCCTCCTCTCTGTATATCTGACTTTCCAATAAAAATAAATAAATCTTTAAAAAAAAAAAAGAAACCAGGAGAAAGTTCCTAACAGCCAACTTCAGACCACCCCAGCTCTGACCATTACAGCTACTTGGGGATTAAATCAGCAGATGAAAGAGCTCTCTCTCTCTCTCTCTCTCCTCCCTCTGTAACTCTTTCAAGGAAAATAAATTAATCCTTTTTAAAAATCCTAAAAAACAAGACAATATGTTTTTATAAATAGAGAAAGAAAAATTGTTGGAGTAGCGCTAAGAGGAGACAGCAGAGTCCTGATCAGGGTCGGAGGGATGGGATTAACAGTGTAAGTAGCCAAAGCTCCTGCTCCCCTGCTGATGAAGAACCAGCAGATCCAGGCATCATGCTCAGGCAGTGGAAAGGGAGGCATGAAAGCCACTGAACCTCAACTTTCTCCGTCAATAGTCAAGATTACCTGCTGAAAGCATGCTATGCAAAAGGACAACTAAGAGCCTGGGGAATTATTAAACAGAAGTCATATTCTGAAGCCAGATGGCTGAGGGTCAAGTTCCAATTTCTCAGCTTCCTATTGAAGCTGGCTCTCAGTTCTGTCTCCTGGAAGATGAACACTAAAGTTCCCACCTTACAAGGTTAATTGAAGAATCCCAGAGTTAGTATATATGTGTTTGGCACATAGTAAGTTGTCAGAGGTTTGCACTGTCAAGACTACTGTTAAGCAAAGTACAGTTGCAAAGAATGGCACTAAGTTAAGGAAGACAAATAAAGGAATTCCCAGAAGCTCTGTGAATAACAGGGCAGCAACAGCGACAGGTTGCTCAGGAGGCATCTTGTTTTTCCAAGATTTATTTATGTATTTGAAACTCTGAGTTACAAAGAGGGAGAGAGAGAAAGAGATCTTTTATCCACTGGTTCAACCCCACAAGCCTGCAACGGCCAGGGCTCCGGCAGGTTGAAGTCAGGTCATCCAAATCTCCAAATCTCCAGTCCCAACCACTTGGGCCACCTTCTGTTGCTTTCCTAGACCATTAGCAGGGAGCTAGATCAGAACTATAGCAGCTGGGGCACAAAGTGGTCACAGGTGGTTATTTACCTCACTATGCCACAATGCCATGTCCTCAACTGGCATGTTCTGAATGTATCACTTTTGTTAGTGACAACTTTACAATGCGGGATCATGATGAATTCATGGTGAACTAAAATTTATTCCTTACACCATTAATTTTCTTGCAAACAAGCTGGCTGCTCCTTTAGCTACAGTTGTGAATCACTATATTTTGCCCATCAGCTGCCTTTCACTACTGGCTCACTCTAATTTGTAATCAGAATGGAATCTAGAGCTTTCTTCAGTTGGATTCTTTGATGTCTGACCACTCCTTCCTTCTCTTCTATCATAAGTCCATTCCTTCACACCAATAAGATTGCTTTTCTTACAAACAAGGTCTAGTAAAACAGCTACTCAGAAATTTCTTCCAGACGCAAAGACACCTTTATTACCCCGGCCTTTAAAGCATATACAGATCTCCTTGGCAATGCCTCTGAGCATTTTCAATCTAATAACTTCATGACATTTAAAAAGCTTTATTTGTTTTGGGACCTGGTACAATAGCCTAGCAGTAGTCTGCACCTTGCGCTGTGATCCCATATAGGTGCTGGTTCTAATCCCAGTGGCCCCGCTTTCCATCCAGCTCCCTGCTTGTGCCCTGAGAAAGCAGTCGAGGACGGCCCAAAGCCTTGAAACCCTGCACCCATATGGGAGACCCAGAAGAGGCTCCAGGTTCTTGGCTTCAGGTTGTCATAGCATCGGCCGTTGTGACCACTTGGGGAGTGAATCAACGGACAGAAAATCATCCTCTCTGTCTCTCCTCCTCTCTATATCTGCCTTTCCAACAAAAACAAATAAATCTTTTTTAAAAAACTTTGTTTTTATTGGAAAGGTAGATTTACAGAGAAGGGGAGCAAAAATCTTCCACAAACAGCCACAATGGCCAGAGCTGAGGTAATCCAACCAGCACCTCTTTCTGGTCTCCCACATGAATGTAGGTTCGCAAGGTCTTGGGTGATCCTCTGATGCCTTCCCAGGGAATTAGCAGGGAGCTGGATTAGAAAAGGAGCAGCCAAAACTCCAACTACTTCCCATCTGGAATGCCAGTACTGCAAGCAGAGGGTTAGCCTACTAAGCACTGCATCGGTCCCACTTTTTATCATTTTTATTTTATAATTTTCCATTTTTAAGGGTTTGTTTTATTTTTAAGACAGGCAGAGTGACCAAGATCTTTCATCTGCTAGTTCACTCCAAAGCCAGGAGCTTCTTCTGGGTCTCCCATATGGGTGCAGGGGCCAGGGTCTTATGCCATCCTTGCCGCTTTTAAGGCTGTAAGCAGAAGCTTATTTATTTGAAAGGCAGAATTACACAGAGAGAGGGAGAGACAAATAGAGAAAAACCTTACATCCACTAGTTCCCTATCCAAATGGCTGCAACAACCAGAGCTGGACCAGGCCGAAGCCAGGAGCCTTGGAACTCTACTTGTATCTCCCACTTAGATAACAGGAGCCTGAGCACTTGGGCCATCTTCCAGTATTTTCTCCGGTGCATCAGTAGGGAACTGGGATTAGAACCAGTTCTCACAGGGGACATCAGCTTTGCAGGCAGCTGCTTGATGTGCTGTACCACAACACTGGCTACAAATTGCAAATACTTTACAGCTTTAAGTTTGTGATCTAGAGTTCTACTGAAGCAAGCCAAACTTGGCCTTTGGTAATGCCGATTTCATAATTTATCTGGGAAAAACAAGTAGTACTGGGCTTGTGGGACAGTCTCCTCCTTGGCCATAAACTACTGGCTATGAGAAGGAAGTGCTGGGTCACTTTGGCTCAAGAATGAGTTTCACACCGGCCAGACGCGAAAGTGCAGCTAGAAGCAAGTGGAGTAGGTTCAATTCTTGCAGACTAATTAGTGAAACTGAAGACAAGCCTCAGGGCTGGTGTAGCACAGTGCGTTAAAGCCACTTGTGAAAACAGTATCCCATGGCGAGTGCTGGTTTGAGTTGTGGCTATTCTGGTTCATATTTGGCTTCCTACTAGAGCATGAATGAAGGTAATAAAGGGAGGCTCAAGTCCTGGAACCCATGTCATCCATGTAGGAGATGAAGATTGAGTTCCTGTCCTACCTTTGGCCTCACTCATTCCTAAGCTTTTGTGGTCAAGTGGGTAAAATGAACCAGTAGAGAGAAGATACCATTCGTTCTTTCTCTCTCCACCCCTGTGCATTAGACTCGAACTGGTGCTCCGATATGAAATGCTGACATCACAGGCAGCAGCTTAACCTGCGGTCCCACAATGCCACCCCCTCCCTAGTATGGAAATTTCCCATTTACTTATGACTACTGGATCAAAATCTTCCCCTTCCTGGAAATCAGCTGCATGCTGCTTCATTTTATCACCACCATACCTACACAAATTAATTAGGGACATGACAGGCTTACCAAATGAATGGTTTTAGTTAATTCTAGCCTTTTTAAAGTAGCTCTTATTTACAGAAATAAAAGAAAATATTTTTTGGAAAGATTTATTTATTTTTATTGCAAAGTCAGATATACCGAGAGGAAGAGAGACAAAGAAAAAAAAGATCTTCCGTGCAATGATTCACTCCCCATGTGACCACAACGGCTGGAGCTGCACCGATCTGAAGCCAGGAGCCAGGAACTTCCTCCAGGTCTCCCACATGGGTGCAGGATCCCAATGCTTTGGGCCATCCTCCACTGCCCTCCCAGGACACAAGCAGAAAACTGCATGGGAAGTGGAGCTGCTGGGATTAGATCCTGTGCCCACATGGAATCCTGGCATGTTTAACGTGAGGATTTTTAGCTGCTAGGCCACCACGCCGGACCCATAAAAGAAAATCTTAAGGATATATCTCAGAGCCAAGATGATGTGAGTAAAAGTACCACTGTCAGTTGATGGTTCCCTCTTTTTTTTTTTTGCATTTATTTACTTTTTACTTGAAAGGCAGAGTTTGGGCCTGGCACGATGGCCTAGCAGCTACAGTTCTCACCTTACATGTGCTGGGATCTCATATGGGTGCCTGTTTTAATGCCGGCAGCTCCACTTCCCATCCAGCTCCCTGCTTGTGGCCTGGGAGGGCAGTGCAGGATGGCCCAAAGCCTTGGGACCCTGCAACTGTGTGGGAGACCCGGAAGAAGTTACTGGCTCTTGGCTTCGGATCAGCACAGCTCCGGCTGTTGCAGCTGCTCGGTGAGTGAATCATAGGATGGAAGGTCTTCCTCTTGGTCTCTCCTCCTCTCTGTATATCTGACTTGGCAATAAAAAAAATATTTTTAAAAAAAGAAAGGCAGAGTTACACAGAGAGACAAGACATTGGTTTTCCATTCACTGTTTCAATCCCCAAATGGCTGCAACAGCAACAGATGAGCCAATGTGAAGCCAGGAACTCTAGATCTTTCACATAGGTGCAGGGTCCAAAGGACTTGAGCCATCCTCCATTGCTTTTCTAAGCCATAAGGGAGCTGGGTTGGTAGTGAAACAGCCAGGACTTGAACCAGTACCCATATGAAACACTGGGGTTGCAGGGGGAGTCTTAGTCTACTATGCCACAGCACTGGACCCAGTTCCCTCTTTCTATGGTTGAATTATGTTACGAATAAAAGAAGTCTTTTGGTGGTGACCTTGAGAAGTTTAAGCTATAGGACCGGTGTTGTAGTACAGTGAGCTACCCTGCCTCCTGTAGCACCAGACCAGTATCCCACGTCAGAATACCGATTCTAGTCCCAGCTGCTCCACTTCCAATCCAGGTCCCTGCTCATGCACAGGGGAAGCAAACAGGGAATGTCCAAGGGCTTGTGCTCATGCCCCTGCCATCCAAGTAGCAAGCCTGGACAGAATTACAGGATCCTGGTTTCAGTATTGTCCGGCCCTGGTACCTTCAGCCTTTGGAGGAGTGAATCAGAAGATAGATCTTTCTTCTCCTCTTCCTCCCTCCCTTTCTCTCTATCACATTGCCTTTAACATAATTTTTTTTAAAATCTTAAATTAAGAAAAAATTTTCAGCAATAAAGAGGCACCTCATTAGGCTTTCGTCCTTTCATGACTACATCAGCCTGAACACTGGATTATCAACCCTAGCTCCAACCACCACCCTGTACAAATGCTGAAAATCTAAACATACAGATATTCTAGCAAAACTAATAGAAAGGGGGTGGCATCATAGCACAGAAAATTAAGCCTCTGCCTATGATACCAGCTTCAAGCCTAGGCTGCTCCAGTTCCCTACTAATGAACCTGGGAATGCAGCTTATGATGGCCCAAGTGCTTGGACCCCAATGAACCATGAGGGAGACCTGGATGGAGCTCCTGGCTCCTGGCCTCGGCCTGGTCCAGCCCTGGCCATTGCTGTCCTTTGGGGAGTAAATCAGCAGGCAGATTTCTCTGCCTCCTCCCCTCTCTCTTTCTTTCTTCCTCTTTCTTTCTTTCTTTCTCCTTTCAAATAAATAAATATCTAAAAGAATATCAAATTCTTATTTTTAAAAATGCTAGGAGTTCAGAGACCTTTAACAATCTTATACCTTCAGGCAACTATTTCAGGGAAATTTTCCAAGTGAAATGTCTGGATTCCAAACACTCTTCCCCAATACTTTGTTCCTCTACTATTTCTCACCTCAGTAAAAAGCTTTCTCATACGTCTGGGAGCTCCAGCAAGCTCCAAAGATCTCCTTTGACATAATTTGCCTCCGGACTTCATGTCTCAATCTATTATCCAGACATCCATTCCACCAGCAAGCACTGGCTCTTTCTCCCCACCCATACTGTTGGTCAAACCACAAGGCTCACTCAGGACTTCCACAGCAGACACCACAATGGTCTCCTTGTGTCCACACTCACACCTTGACAGCCCACTCCTTGCACAACAGTCAGTAAGCCACCCTGCCATTCTGCTGCAGACTTTCTTTTTTTTTCACCTGAACGGGTTTTATTTCTCATTTATAAAAAATTTAAAATCTCACGTGTGCTTGTGCAAGTATATAAACACACACGTCAGGAAACGAGGCCTTGTCTTTAAAGGTCCCTCTGCTGCAGACTAATGGCTCCCTGTGAATCTGAAGAAGGGGCAGAGGAAGGGGCCTGCGTGGAACACTTGTGTGGCTGACAAGTCCTACCCACTTCCACAATTTCAGCTCCTACTGAAACTCCCACACACTCTCACCCTTAAACGTTCTTTCATTCTGTTTTTAACACACAAGACTTCTTTTAACCCAGTAATGTTCCAAACTTACTCTCACCTCAGGACATCTGCATAAGTTGATTCCTTTGATTCCTTTGCCCAGAGTGTTGCATGACTGATCCCTAACTGAGATTTTAGCCAAAGTGACACCTCTTCCAAAAGACCTTCCCTGGCTACCCAACCTAAATGAAGCCCCTCTAGGCACATTCAATCATACCACTCTGTTTCTACTTGCTGCATAGACCTTTTCAGCATGTGAACTTAGCTTGCAGATGGGCATTTCACACAGCAGCTGTGTTGTTGCTTGGGATGCTCACATCCCATACTAAAGTGCCTTGATCAAGTCTTGAATCCTCTGCTTCCAATCCAGTCTCCTGCTCACGTACACCCAGAAGCGACAGGTACTGGAATCGCTGCCACCTATGTGCATGACCCGGAAGGATTTCCTGCCTCCTGGTTTCAGCCTAGCCCAGCCCTGGCTGTTACAGGCATTGAGTGAATCAACGAAGGGAAGATCTGTTGCTCTGTCTTTAAAATAAAAATGACAGTAAGTAAATAAGTAAATATTTGAAAAAGCAATCAGCTTGTATTTCTCTGCTTTTACCGTTTTTTTTTTTTTCATTTTTATCAAAACAAAAGCTCCATGAGAACAGGGACTTCATCTTGCTGTTCATTGTAGGATCCTCATTAGAAATGCTTGGTACTGGGCCCAGCACTGTAGCCTAGTGGCTAAAGTCCTCACCTTGCACATACTGGGATCCTATGTGGGTGCTGGTTCTATCATGGCAGCCCTGCTTCCCATCCAGCTCCCTGTTTGTGGCCTGGGAGGGCAGTAGAGGACAGCCCAAAACCGTGACCCTGCACCCGTGTGGGAGATCTGGAAGAGGCTCTGGCCATTGTGACTACTTGGGGAGTGAAATCAGCAGACAGAAAATCTTCCTCTTTCCTCCTCTCTGTACAGCTGACTTTCCAATAAAAATCTTAAAAATAAATGAATCTTTAAAACAAAACAAATTCTTGATACTTCATAGACATTCAAGTACAAGCTGAAAGAATGAATTAATGGATCTAACAGAGTTTTAACAAATGAGTAAAATATTATACTAACAATACCTTTTATGTTGGAAATATCAATGTTGAGCTGTCCAAGCTTCTCACACGTTTTCTCTATACACTCATAGACAGACTGCAGAATTTCCTTAGGGTCTTGTTCTACCCAGCTTTGAACAAAAGAATGTTATTTAGTTAGTCGACAAGAAATCAATCCAAATATAATTTATGTATGTAGGAATATTAACTTGCAAATGGTGGTTGATCCATAAATTACAGGAAATCAGATAAGCAAAGAATAACCCACATTCTTAAGAAATGCTTAAAAGAAGTCTATTTCCCTACATTTTTATTATTCTTCAGAGTAACCATTTTAAAGAAGGTCACTAATAGCAGGCTATAAACAAAAAATACTCTATTTCTAAATTATATTCTCAAGTCCAATTAAACCCAGTAAGAAAAGTTTTCCAATTCTCTATATCCTGCTAGTTTGATTAATTTTGATAACAAACTTACAAGTTTCAATAACTAATTATTTCTGAGTAGACAGAAAAGTGGTCATTATTCTTGGGAATAAGATATTTGGGAAGCAGAAGAAATTCTGAAAAGTGAATTAATTATTTTAATATCTTATGTCATTTTTCCTGCAAACTTTTTTGTGGGAATTGAAGGGAAAATACTTTTTCTAATAATTGTTTCATGCAAACAAATGATGGATCAAAGCTTTGAGAATCAATTTTAGTGCAGTTTGGATAAGGTTCCACTGCCTCAAAACAATGAAAGGCTGATAGTAAATATGAAGAGGAACAGCACTGTGGCACAATGAGTTATGCAACTGCCTGTGACACCAGCATCACATTTGGGTACTTGTTCAAGTTCTGGCTGCTCCACTTCTGCTTTAGCTTCTTAATAATATCTCCAGGAAAATAGCAGGTAACCCAAGTATTGAGTCCCTGCAGCCTTGTGGTACATGCAGATGAAGTTCTTGCCTCCTGGTTTCAGCCTGGCCCAGCCCTTACCCATAGGCCACTTTGAGAACCAGTGGATAAAACCACTAGCATGTTCTCTCTCTATCTCTGTGATTTTGCCTTCCAAATAAATAAAAAAAACTTTCAAAGTTGCAAATATAATTCTAAATAATAATAAATGAGAAGGAAAGGAAGGCTGTGAGAAACAAATGGTATTTGGTCAAAACCCAAAGTAGAAATGACCCAAACTAAAAGAATCCTGCCCAGATCTGGAGGTAGCAAGAGAATTCCAATTAGGCCCATTCTCTGCTTTTGATGCCCCCAGATGAATGCTTCTCTTTGCTCAGCTTTGAGTTCTCTCAAGTTCAAGTTCCCTTCAAAAATCCAACCTCCTCCCATGTACTTGTAATTTCCATCCTTCCATTAACCAGGCATTCTCTTTCCAAACTACATGGGAATTTGGCTTATGGATGGTCATTCTAATGTTGCTAACATATCAGTAGTTTATTACTAATATTAATATCATTATTAAACAAAATAATGCTCCTAAAATGGAGCATCTTTTCATGGAAAGTAAACAACACAATTTGGAAAGGCACAATTTCTCTTTTTCTCAAATGAGGTAAACTTGAATGTGAAATACATGGATCCAAAAAGGTACAATCTGCTGAGCTGACAAATTATGTATGTATGCAACCAATACTTCAACCAAGTTAGATTATTTCCATCACCCGAGAGTTTTTCTATGTACCTTTTCAAGTTAAGTCACATGTAAGTAGCCATTGTTCAGAATTCTGTCATCCTATGTTAATTTAGCTTATTCTTGATTTGTAGATAGAGCCACATACTAAGTTCTATCTTTTACTTTTTTTATTCGTAATATCAATATGTTTCAGATATCATGTCACTTATAATGACTGCCAAATGTCCTATAGTTATCCATTCTACTGGTGATAGACATATGTATCGTTCCCAGTTTGGGACTATTGTGAATAAAGGGGCTAAAAACATTCAATTTTAGTCTTTCTCTGGAAATATACTTTTCATTTCTTCTAGACAAATTCCTTTGAGTGGAATACAGCAGGTATATAGTTAATTATATAAGAAATTATGAGTTTTTTCAAAAGTTTTATCGTAAGTATCATTAAATTTTAGATACACTTCATATTAGTTACAATTACTACATGAGAACTATTACCAAAAGGATTATTTTTAACATTAGATGAGTGCTACTTTATAAGCAGATGTTTTTTATTTGCACTCATATAATCAAAATAGTATTTTGGCAATGATGAAAACAGAGTAATGATTTCAAATCGATGCAAAACTTCTGATATTTCATGCTTATAAAATCTTAGCATTTAATATGCGTCTAAATTCCTAAGCCATACATGTTTTGCCGAGTTACCAAGTTATTGCTTCTTTTCCTGACTAATATCAATCCCTCAAGTCTTCTCAGGAGACTATCTAGACATGTTTACTTTACAAATTCATAGTGCAAGTGGGTGAGACGGAATAATAAACTCGATGTGTCTTTAACATATTAAATTAGGAAACATACCCTTCTCTTGGAAACTCTTGTTTTATTTCCACCTGATGATGACTAAGTAATTCCGCTGTTTTTGAATTGAAAACCTGGAAGACACATTGCAGTATTAGTGCAAAACCCTATGATACTTAAAATTATTTAGCAACTGAAGTTTTCATTCACAGATTTAATACATTCAGTCAAATGAAATACCATGTAAAATGTTAACACTTTCTCTCCAAAAGGAATCCTAAAAAATTGTATGACAGCATCAGAAATAAATTCTCTTCAGATAAAAAGAAAAGTGGCAATTACTTACTCTTTAAAAAATGAAAATGGTTCTCCAGTTGCACACAAGTTAACATTTTTACCAATTAATAGCACGGGATCTTTTTTGGAGAATAGCAAAATCAACAATAAGACAATAAGTAAAGCTTGAAACAATGGTACCAGGGTCTCTTCTCCCTTCATCTTGAATATGGACACAAGAAGCAGATGACCAGACAAGGACTGTGTGTGAATTCCTTTGAAGACAAGTGAAGGACTGCATTCAGCCCTCAAGAGGATAATACAGCCACGGGGTGCCCTACCACGGCAATTTAGTACTCTCTGTGACATCGTAAATTGCTGATCTTTGTAAAGCACTTAAATCAAGGGATGAAAACTAATAAAGAAATGCTGCATAAATCTATACAATTTTAATGTCACTAAATAGCACTTTTTAAAACTTAACAATATTTTTTCAAATGCACTGTTTCCCCCCAGTAGGATCTACACTTGAGTATCAAAGGACTTACTCATTCCAAGAAAAATACATATTTAATTAATGTCTCCTTCTAAAGCCAACGTAAGTGCAGCAAGAAAGTCATTTCCAAATAGGACCAGGTTTCCTGGAAAAAACTACCTGGTTCAATGCAGACTAAGAAAAAAATAAAAGTGTATGTGTGTATATATAAATATAAAACAAAAAAAGACAAAATAATTGCGAAGAAACACTATGGCTTTTCGCCCTCCACCCTCCACATCAAAATGAATCTCCTGCATCTCTGAAGAAGATTATAACCACACAAAAGGGCAAATTCTGAAGTTCCTTCAGGAGATAACATATCTTACAAGTCAAAGGTTAACTTGATAGACTATAAACAGAAGAAGGCACTTGACAGAACCCTGGCAATATCCAATGATATAATTTAGGGCATGATTTTAGGATGGCAGCTCCTTCAAGATTATAGCATAAGTCTATGATATTAGCTTCATTTATTTGGTGAACAAAGTTGGGGTTCAATCAATACTTGAATGTTTTATAATGTATGGTCTATTATAGGCACTCAATGGAGGGGGAAAAAAACGAGAAGCAGGCAAGTGACACAAAAACCCAATAAGAAACTAAAGCCAGGCCCAGCACAATAGTCTGGTGGCTAAAGTTCTCACCTTGCATGCGTCAGGATCCCATATGGCTGCTGGTTCTAATCCCAGCAGCCCTGCTTCCCATCAAGCTCCCTGCTTGTGGCCTAAGAAAGCAGTTGAGGACGGCCCAAAGCCATTACAGCTGCTTGGGGAGTGAACCATTGGATGGAAGTTCTTCCTCTCTGTCTCTCCTCCTCTCTGCATACCTGTCTCTCCAATAAAAAAATGGCAATGACTGCTACATCTCAGTTGGCAGGGGGAAGGCACTGACACCTGGGCAATTTCACCAAGCTACCTTTGAGATTATCTTCAAGACCTACAGTCATCTGACCCCTGGCATTAGGAAAGAGACTACAGTCAGCAAGTCTCTCTATCAGGAACTCACAGACCATCTTTCAAAGACACACCAGAGTTTCTGCACAGAGGGTCTAGGTTCCAGCTGTAGCTACAACATAGTTTTTAAAATCAGAAAAATTAACTGAATTAAGCCTGCTTAAAAAAACAAAACAAAACAAACAAACAAACAAACAACTGAGCTCTCTGCCTCTAAGAAGCATGAAAAGAAAAACAAGGAACCTCAACCACGCCTTGGGAGCATGCTCCACCCTACAGTTCACATTTTGACTGGCTTTCAAATTTAAACTCTTCCGGAAATGATGTTAACAATGGATTTCCAAGGTAAAAATTGAGCAACACCAACTGAAACCCAAGGCCCTATTTAACACTCGTATTTCCAACAAGGCAGTAGGCAACACAAAATGGAATACACATCAAGTTTTATGAACATCAATTCAGTATTTTTCCAATCCAAAATCATACTGATAGCAGTCATGATTTTTTAATCATCCATTAAGTGGCAATAAATATAATGAAGTTCATATCCTAGGGCTACCAGAGTGTAATGGGTAAAATCACTGCCTGTGGAGGCAATACCCTATATGGGTACAGGCTCGCGACTCAACTGCTCTATCCCCACTCAGTTCCCTGCTATTGCACCTTGGAAAGCAGCAGATGGCCCAAGTGTTCTGATGCACCTGTGCGCATGTGGGAGCATGGAAGAAGCTCCTAGCTCTTGGCTTTGGACTGGCACAGCCCGGCCTTCACGGCCACTTGGGGAGTGAAGATCTTTCTGTCTCTCCCTCACTCAGCATAACTTTTTCAAATAAATAAATCCTTTCTTTGAAAAAGAGAAAAATACAGTGAAGTATGGAAAGAGATTTAATTAAAATGGTATAAGCAGGAATCAAGAACACTCAGGAATGAGACAACACAGGTTAACAGAACGATGAACAGGGTTTAAAAACAAGAATAATGTAGGAACACTAGTTGCAAATCAGGAAGGGATAAGGAAATTGCAAATCCCATAGCATACAGCTTGTGTTTCAGGTATAGATCCAACATATAGTAGGGATGGTCAAGAACTGTTCTCAGAATTTTGTGTGGGCCAGAAAGGCAAAATACTTATACTTGGTATAATGCAGAGGTTTAAAAAGCCCAGAAGGTAAAGCTCCAGTCCCACCCACATTAACTGTTGAACTTTTCTGAGCCTTGACATCCCCATTTACCAAAAGGAGGGCTCAATAAAATGGATCTGAATGATATGATCGCTATGGCGGTTGCTACTGCTAATTGTCACTATTAGTTCTACTACCATCACTACCAACAGGTGACAAAAATCTTAATTACACCAGTTCTGTATTCCTCTCTAAACCAAAATTGTCTCCCAATTCCAGCTTTTGCTTTGGGGAAAGGGCAATTTAAAATGAAAGCTACTGCATCCAGTGCAATAGCCTAGTGGCTAAATCCTAGTCTTGCATGCACAAGGATCCAATATGGGTACTGGTTTGTGTCCTGGTTGCTCCACTTCCCATCTAGCTCCCTTCTTGTGGCCTGGGAAGGCAGTAGAAGACAGCCCAAAGCCTTGGGACCTTGCCCTCATGTGGGATTCAGAAGAAGCTCCTGGCTCCTGGCTCTAGGTAGGCTCAGCTCTGGCCATTACAGCCACTTTAGGAGTGAACTAGTGGACAGAAGATTTTTCTGTCTTTCCTTCTCTCTGTAAATCTCATTTTCCAATCAAAATAAATAAAACTTACCAAAAAATGAAAGAAACAAGGAAAGTTTGCACTGGGAAGGAATTTACTACAGGGCAGACACACAGTGCAGTTACAAATACTGCAGTTATTACTACTACATTACGGTTATTACTATGATTTATAAGTGGTAGAATTAGACTTAGAAATGATCAGTTCGACAGTCACCTTTGTGCCTAAATAATGACTCACTTCCAGACTGGAAAGAAGCAGGTAAAATTAAAGAAACAAGGGAAACTGCTCTTACAAAAAATGTTTGAAAGTAATCTTTTCAGACAATGCCTGCAATCTCTTTTTTTGTAAGGTTTACTTATATTTATTGGAAAGGCAGATACACGCAGAGGAGGACAGAGAGGAAGATCTTCCATCCAATGATTCACTCCCTAAGGGGCTGCAATGCCCAGAGCTGAGCCGATCCAAAGCCAAGAGACAGGAGTTCCACATGAGTGCAGGGTCCCGGAGCTTTGGGCCATCCTCCACTGCTGGAACTGGGTTGGAAGTAGGTCAGCTGGGACATGAACTGGCACGTGCAAGGTGAGAACTTCTGGCACTAAGCTACTACGCCGGGCCCACGTTCTCTGTCTTATAACAAGGAGCAACATGGAAACATGAAATGCTCTCCTTGTCAAGTAACTGTCCTAGGCTTGCCTCATTTACCCTCTGACTGATTCTTAATTCTGCTGTCCCATCATAAACACGCACATTCATTTCTCTCCACACGTGACTTCCCCACTGGCTTACATTTTTATGGCACATTAAACTTTACTATGTGATAAGACATTACTCAGGAAGCTAAACTCCTTCTCAAGAACATCATGACAGTTCATAAATTTGAATGACTGAAACTTAAAATATAAAGCAAAAAAACTCGGGGCCCAGTGCAGTGGCCTAGCAGCTAAAGTCCTCACCTTGAAAGCACCTGGATCCCATATGGGCACTGGTTCTAAACCAGACAGCCCCACTTCCCATCCAGCTCCCTGCTTATGGTCTGGGAAAAGAGTCAAGGATGGCCCAAAGCATTGGGACTCTGCACCCATGTAGGAGACCTGGAAGAGCTCCTGGCTGTGGATTGGCACAGCTCTGACCATTGTGGTAACTTGGGGAGTGAACCAATGGACAGAAGATCTTCCTCTTTGTCTCTCCTCCTCTATATATATATCTGACTTCACACAAAAAAATAATAAACATTTTTTAAAAGCAAAAAACTCTAGCTAAAAATGTCTGTTTATTGAAAACATGATCAGAAAAAGGTTTAATGGCATCTTCCAACAAGGTATTGGAATTTTTAAAAACAGCAATGTCAATGTCACATTTGTCTTGGATGAAATTGTATTAAAGAGCATATGCATATACACATAACTCAGCTATATCTGTCAATACCCTGTAAGTTTTGACTTTCTGTTCTCATAAGCCAAGAGTTCTAGTTAACACATCTGAGTTCTGTAGGCCCTTTGCTGCTGAAATTGATTCATTTAATGAGCACCTGCCACATGCTTTGGGGGAAAGACACTGTTCTGCCTCTCAAAGAGCTCAAGACTGAAAGCTCTTAAACAAAGCTTGTGAAACAGTAAGACAAAAGCAAATGGTGGGCCTGGCAATGTGGCCTACTG